AATAGAATTTCATTGTTGTTCACGCTTAGTCGCTGAAATACGTCGATCACCGTGCGAGAGCTTGCTTTATTTGATGTATTTTTTTATGAATGAATATGGAGAATGTTCACCTATCACCTGTGTATTCTGGGGAGGCAGGTCTCTCCTCGGCCACACCTGATAAGATGTAATTAGTTCAAAAATAACCTGCACTAATAAATTTCAGCGAGTCCTCGGTCGATTTCTTGGAAGTGCGATAAGATTTTGCCAGTGCGTCTGATAGCTGATTGCTAATTGCGACAATTACTCATTGAACCGCGATTGGCACAAGTCCAGTTTTCTTTGAGAACTGTATTTTTTACCCAGAGTTTTGCGTACTACTTGCACAGTACCGGAACTTATTGACGCAGATTCCGATAAAAAGCGAGCTTAATAGTACTCAGATTGCATAGGGTCTTGCTTATTTTCCCATATTGTTTGTGGTCTACGTGACCTCTGGGGAATATGCATTTCCTTCTGAGTTATTTTTGGTCCAGATCGGAAAAGTTTTTTTCACTTAAAAAGTAGTTTCAAACCGGCATAACTTGGGATGCTGGATCCCTAAGGATACATCTGTGAATCACTTTGGAAATTTTCATTTAATTGTTTATTTGTTTCCTTGAAAAATTGCCCAAATGTATTTAGTAAATATTTATTTTTAACAATTCGAAACGTAATTGAGGAATTCCCGGTATTTAATTGCCTTTGATTAGGAACGAAGAAACTAAAGTTTAAATGAGTTTGGGTATTTCTATAATTTAAGTATTTAGTAAATTGTATATTATATATAACTGATCAGTTAATCTCTTACTTATTACTTGCAAAATTTACATTTCAAACAGTGTTTTCTGCATATGAAATTAACTTATCTTCGTAACGCCAAGATAATCGTGTTAGTATTCTTTAATTAAATGCCACCCACTCGGTTAGAATAATAGAAATACCAACTGTAAATGCATTAATCATAACTTACATAAATTAAGAAGCCCTCCCAGTAGTACCAGGCAGAATGACTTGAATCTGAGTGCTTATGGAATCCATCTCGTGAGCTAAGACAGAAGGTAGAAGTGGTAATGATTGACCCATTTCAAAGTGGAGCTGCTGCTGCAAAAAAGAGCAGAGTGACTAGTGACTAGGAGTGAACAATGAACACCTCATATGATTACCAACCGCATCGGAACGCTTAGGCTGGAGTGGCTCCAAATGGAGGATCGACTACTAACCAATGTGTGTGGCCCAGGGAGGTCCGCCAAGGTGCTCCCCAGTTCCAGTACCCAGTACCCAGTACCCAATCCCTAGTACCCAATCCCGATCTCATAATGAATTTCGAACACGCACAGACGTTTTGTAATTTCGAGTTGTAAGTGCTGCGCTTTCAAGTGCTTTACGTCGACTTCTTCTTCTACAACTACAAGTCATAATCATTGTTATAATACCTACATATGTATGCAATGCCAAATATGTATGTACAGAGGTCTTGTATGGGTCTAGTCATAGTCATATAGTCCCATAGTCATGACTATGGGAAGTAATTTCTTTAACACGCAGGCCACCATGGGATCAGAAGCTATACACTAACAGAAATAATTCAGGGAGAATCTTTGGCTTCAGAGGTTAAAGATTTATTAATTTGTTGTGTTTATATATAATTGATTAACATTAAAATTCTACATTTTGTTGCACAATATTTTCTGTATGCTTAAATTTCTGGTATATGTACAAGTTGATTGAGCTTTAAATTGATTTTAAAATACCAATTAAATCGATTGTTGTGTTATCACCAGAGAAATACCTTACAATTTTTTTTAGCAGACATTAAGGTTCCTAGAATTTTTTATATGATTACTTTTATTACTCTTAATGTCTGGGACATTTTATCAGGTCTTTAAAAAAAAACAGAGTACTTAAAATATATAGGAAATGCGTAATTAAAATATTTAAAATACGAGTAAAATTTTTGTTTAAACAATTATTCAGCTTATACACCATTTTGGTAATAGAACTATATAAAAAAATGTTATATTTGGTAAGAGCCAGAAACTAGAGAAAGTAACTAAAAGGTTAAGCTATTAAGATACACCATTAATTAAAACTGAATTATAGTAACAATATGTTATAGATTATTGGTACTTAAACTATTTCCTGTGAATTTGTAATGCTTATTGATTACTCTTTCGAGTTTAGGAAGTGCAATCTAATATTATCTTGATAACAACTAAAGTGCCATGAACTTAATTATAGTTATTAGTTAATAAATTCGGACACTTGAGTACATGTATCTCGAAAACTGTGTATTAAATTCTTCCGGTTATTTTTTCCGGTGTGAATGCACAGGTAAAAGAGTTACCCAAAAGTGTTGTTGTGTCGGTGGTAGATAAAGGTGAAGGCCCAAAAGGGTTTCCCCCTGCATTTGTCGCCAATTATGCGGTTTTGTGATAATGACCAAATGATCTCTCCTCTGCCGGCGTCGCTGTTGACGTCGCACGTAATACCAATTCATTCATAGTTTCGCTTACCATTTCGTTGCGTTTGCGTTACGTTGCGTTTCGTTTCGTTTCGATTTTTTTTTTCATTCATAAATTTACCTGGTCTGTTGTGTAGTCATCATAATAATAGCCTTTATCTTATCCTCTCCTGCTTCCTCTTCTTATTCTTCTGCTGCTGCTGCTTCTTCTTCTCTCTACTTTACCTTGTGTCTTCTTTTGCTATCTCTTCACCTCTCTCCCTTTCTCCTTATCGCTTGCACTCGCTGTTCAATACATCGAACGGAAGCAGCGGAAGCAGCCGCTGTCGACGTCGACGTCGCATCGTCTTCACTGATCATTGTTGTTGTTGTTGTCGGTGTTGCCTTGAGGCTATTGTTGTATTCCCTTACTACAAAATATCGGTGTCTTCTTTATCACTCTGCCGCTGCTTTTGTTGTTGTTCTTGTTTGTCAATTTGTCTGGAGTTTCTTTTCAAGCGAATGCGCGTGTGAGGCAACACAAGAAATTCATTCATAAATTGCTTGTCTGCCTGTTTTCAGCTCTTCTTCTTCCTTTCCTTGAGTGTCTGCTGTGTGTGCGAGTGTGTGCGAGTGTGTGTGTGTGTGTGAGGGGAAGAAACTTGAGTAGATTTGCCATATGTGCACAACAACACAATCTGGTTAAAAAATTATACAAAACCAAAAGAAGAAAAAAGAATCAAGAAGTGCAGGAAAAAATTGAAAAAGGAGACAACATTTTATAAATTTAAGAAAAAATTTAAACACAAAAGAATACTTATAAATTTGGGGATTATGTAAAAGAAAATTATTAAAAAATGTAAAATATTGTGATATATTTTAGGATTTTAACTAATATTATGTTAAAATGATATTTAAAGACATCATATTTTGTAAATGATTAATTAATGAACTTAAAGTTTTGGAATTTTTAATAATATTAATATTTTCTGATAAATAATAACGTAATAATAAGCAACTTATAAATTCATTTTCAAAAAAAATTCCATAACTTAAAATTTATTTTTGGTAATTGTACAAATTATCTACATTTTTGAATTTTAAGGAAATTATTGGTAAAATCGACCAAATAATTATATATAATATAAAACCAAGATGGAAAGAAGAAACAAATTATTTGTAGCTTTTATAGTACAAAAATTGTATTTTTTAATATTCAACCGTTTTTAAAGCTTGAAAACCAAAAAAAATCTTAATTCTATATTAATAATATAATTTTTTGCACCTGTTATACACCCTGTTTGGTGCCTGCATTTGGTCACCTGTTGCCAATGTTCCCAAAGCAAAAAAGTAAAAACTGTTTGCTCTTATTTGTGTTTGCTCTTTTTTCTTTTTGCTTTAATTTTTTCGTGTGTCGTGTGTTTGCTTTTTCGTGTATGCTTTGTTTTTTTTATTCCTCTGCCTTTTGCCTTCTCTCGGCTAAACAAACAACCTGGGCTGCGTCGTTGTTGTTTTACTAGCTGTAGGCCTTTGTTGTTGTTGCTGCTGCTGCCGACGCCGCCGCTCTGATGATGGCAGTTTCCGTTTCCATTCCAAACACACGGATGCACAAAGAGAGAGAGAGAGAGGAAGAGAGAGACTCCCGCACACATACACGCGCACATTTTGGTCACGCTCGCGTTTCGTTTTATGAATGAATTCCAGTTCGTTCCGCCTGCCTGCCAGAGATTTACGAGTTCCAATTCCCACTTGTTGCGCTCTCGCACTCGCCACGGATACGATCGTTTCGTTTCGTTTCAGTTTGGCTTCACAAATCCAGCAATCCGATAGATACACAGAACGAACGACGAACGAATTTCGAAAATTTACACTCCGTTCCCGCGAACTTTTTGTGTTGTTTTTTCGTTTCAGCGAGGAAACAGGAGAAAAACAAAGACTAAAAATTTAAATTTTAAAGTGCAAAAGAAGTGCAAAAACCCGTTTAGAAACGCTTAAGTGGCCAAGTGGCGCTGTGATATGTGCAATTAACATTCAATTACCACAATTAAGGCGCGACAATTGCACCCATTAGTGCGGCTGAGATACAAACCGATACACACTTGTGTATCTCGAGACTTTCGCTGACACTTTGGGTCAAGATTGTGCCGCACCAATCAATTAGAATCAATTGATCCCACCCCTTCTGAGTGTGTTGTGAACGACCTCTGACCCGCCGAACAAGTTCGCTGGGAAAACCCCTCAATTATGACCAATGAATGGATCGATTGGAGCGACAGCCGCATGTTGCCACCGCTGCGATCCGCCAACTACAACCACCACCAGAACTATCTGCACAACAGCAACTATCAGTGCTTCACCAGCAAGTTTCACCTGAAGGCCCAGAAGCTACAGCAACTGTCCACCAATCACAGCAAACTTAAAGGTTAAAATGCTGCTTTAAGACTTTTACAAACTAACCAATCCGCCACAAGAATTGTTTACCTTTTCATAGTTCATAATTTTAGCTTGATTTTTAATGTATCTTTTGTGTTTGTTTCAGATGTACCCACCGCCTTGCCACCCCTTACGCCCGGCACCAATCGCAAGGTCAACGAGGTGCTCAAGGCCTCCTTTGCCTCCTGGGAAAAGGAGGTGCAAAAGTACAACATAACCAAAGGTATGCGAAAGGGAAAACCTTTTTTGTTTTAAAAATATTTCAAAAAGCAAACACTAACTAAGAACAAATTCTAAACAGTTTACACCATTTATTTGATTTCTGATCTATAAATCATTGTACATTAATTGTAAGAACTCTAGGCATGATCTTTGAACTTCTTAGTTCCCAATTTGAAAGCTTTCTTCTCTTAAACAACCTAATCTTGATAATTTAATGTCCTAACTAACCGTGAACTATCAATTGAAGTTCCTGCTAGAGACCAATAATGAATATTAATAGTTTCCCACAGCAATAACAAGGCGCACTCGCGCTCCCACGCCTAATTAAGTCGCTGCAAAAGCCAAAAGGCATTAGAAAACGATTAATTTCCATCTCCTATATATATTTATATGTTCTATCGTCACTTAACACACCCTCTAAAAAAAACAAACTGATTCCCATGCAGATCCCCGTGAATGGACGGAGGAGCACGTCATCTACTGGTTCAATTGGGCCAAAAATGAGTTCTCACTGGTCTCCATGAATCTGGATCCCTTCTACAAAATGAAGGGTCGTGCCATGGTCGATTTGGGTAAGGAGAAATTCTTGGCCATAACGCCACCCTTCACCGGCGACATACTGTGGGAGCACCTGGACATCCTGCAGAAAGGTGAGTGTACGTGAGTTGCATAGAGAGAGGTAGAGTGAGGGAAAAGGGAGAGTAAGTGCCTTCCAGTGGCGCCAGTAACCAAATTTACCTGTCCCCCAAAACGGAAGCCTGTCTAACAAAGTCAAGGCAGGGAGGTAGTGAATGGGGGTTTTTTGGTGGCAATGGGAAAGGGTTTTCTGACCTGTTGAGCATTACCTCTGCCTGCTTTTTTTTGTGTCCTGCCTCCGGCCAACGTTTAAATTTGATTTGTTGTGAGGGTGGAAAGTGGTAAATGCACTTGGAAAAGTTAAGGAAATATTCGAAATATAAAGTTAAATGTGCTATAAAAATACTAAAGTAAAAGCCCGACGGCTTTTTAGGTACATAAAAGATAAGGAATCTTGAGATACAATCTTATTTATCTTGTAAAACTTGATATCTTCTAAATAAATGTATCTTTCTGGCAAATATATTAATCTCTGTGTAACGGAAAAGGTGTGGATGAAAAAAGAGCCAATAAAAATAAATAGATATTGCAGTTTTGTCCTTATATTCTTTATAATTTATTGAGTTTGCCAAGCTCTTTAGAAACATGTTTAGTATTTTCAGGTAAATAATTGCATTATTTTATTTTTCAGAATGCGAAAAACCAAATGAGGACATTGTGCATGGCCATTCCTTTGAGTCGGCCACCACCGCCTCGGTCTGTGGATCGGACCATCAGGTGGCCGCCGCCTTCCCGCCCGAGTCATCCGCCCAAGCAGCGCCGCTTTCCAGCAGCAACAACAACAACAACAGCAGCGTTAACAGCCGCCTTTCCATGGATTATGTGACATCCTCAGCGAGCAGTGATAAGAGCCACTTTCACCCAGCCACGCACAATGGTAAGTCAAGGATACAAGTTCATATATATTTTTTGCATATTTATTGAATTAATTTGGGTACTTGGAGGGTCAAAGGTTGACTGATTGAACCTTATTTTGTATGGGGTTTTCTATTGAATTAGGGAATTTTGAACTTAGGTTCATCTAAAGCAATTTATTGTGTTAAAATTAAAGCTTTAAGCCTTTTTAAGCCTCGACATACCTTTGAATTATTATAATCTTATCAAGAAATTGTAATCTTGAGCTCAGTGAGCTAACTAACTATAGAAATAATTTCCTAAAAGTTTATTTACTTTATTTGTTCGATTGATTATAGTTCTTCATTATCACAACTTATGCGCAGTTTAAAAGAAGCTTGAAAGCACATAAAATGTTTATAATTTTCAAATACCTTTCAATTGCTCAAATCTTAAACCAAATAACACACATTAATTTGTTAAAATTCTCAGAAATCATTTACTATACTTTGTTTAAACTGCAAATCTTATCTTTAAAGCATAGTTCTTGTGCTGAAAAAATAGGGTTTTGCAAACTGATAAGCAACTCTTAAAATGATAAAGACTTTTATAGCCACTCATAAACTATAAGAAAACGACTTAATTTAGGCTCATTTTGGGGCATAAAAGTCTCAATGAATGTACAAAATCATTCAACATTCCTGAACGTAATCTGCTCAAAAAATTACACCTCGATAATGGAGAGTGATCAATGGCAATTGGATCTGAGATGGATATTGGTAATATTGTAGCTCATTAAGCGATCAGTTTTATTTACGGCACATCCTCCGCAACGATTTTAGTCAAATGATGAACCATTACTTGGCATGTGTTTAGTGCATCCGGCACAAGAAGCTAAATCAAGAGCAGATTGCAGATCGCCATAATCAAATTCAAATCCAAATCGAGAGCCAATTTAAACAATTCATTTGCTCACAGATACGGATATAGATACAAATACAGATACATTCGTGGTTTATGGCCACAAATGCATCTCCCCCATTCCCCCTTGTGGGAGAGCGATCTTATCTGAGTTATATTTTGTGATTTTAATTTATTTATGTGAAATTGAAACGGAAATTAAAATTTAAAACAAATAGCAAGACAGCTAGAGGAGCATTCGCCTGGCGCCAGCGTAGGCAGCATATCTAAATATCTATTTAAATTTGTTTACATATAAGGTCGAGGGGACACGGGAATGCGTGCGATTGTGGAGCTCCATAGATACATTTATGCCGTCGCCGTAGTCGCCGTAGTCGCCGGGGCACAGCTTGAGATTGAGATACATTTGTTGTTTAATGCGTCGCCATACAAATTGGAGCCGGAGCAACCGCAGCTTCCCCAGTGTCAAGATGATGTAGTGAACGCTATGCCATTCATATGATTAATCAAAACCTGACCCCCTAGCACGGAGCACGGAGCACGGAGCCGTCTGCACTTGCCCATGCCCACTCCTGTCATTATAATAAATTAATTGAATTTATGGTCTTTGACACATTATGACCATAAATGTTTAAACATTTACATATCCCAGATGCAGAAGACGTGCGCGTGGCTAATGAAACAATCCATTCTGAAGATAAACCTAAAAGGTTTATTTAAAGTATTTTAGAGAGTTTTGAATACTCTTTTTTAGTTAGGAAACTATATAGATTATACATATGTATATATAGTATGTGTATACTTTATAGATATATGGGTAATATAATATATAGATATGAGTATTATATACTATTATCTATTGTATTCTTATACTTTTGAACACTTTTATAAAGTAAATATATTCTGGCTTAAAAGATGTATATCAAATCTTTAGAGATCAGTTTATCTTTATGAGTAGAATGATGATAGGATAGGATAGGATAGGATAGGATAGAAAAGTAAAGGAAAAGAAAGGATTCCTTAAAGACTTTAGTAAACAAAGATGTCCTGTAAAACCTTGTGTGATTTGATAACCAATTAATTACTTTATCAATAGATTCTTTATATATTTCAACATTTATTTCCAATTATTAAAACCTTTATTTAAAACATATCTCAAAAATCTCTAAGAAAACCCATATCTCCAGCAATATAAGAGTGTGGTTTGGACACATGTATAAGTAGCTCATAACGATGGCTTCAGTGGCTAGGTTCTGGTCATCAATTTGATTCAATCATTTGTATTTTTTTTTGTTTTGTTTTGTTTGCTGCAGAGGCAGCCCCTGTTGTCATCGTTGTTATTATTATTATTCCAATCTTGTGGATAAAACCAAACAACAACTGGGGGCCCCCACCACCAGAGTCTCGTCTCGGGCCTAGTCTTTGTTCCTGGACATGCCCGCATCTACGCAAATTATGCGACTCGAATCGGATCGTATCGGATAAGTTTTTGGATCAGTTTGTGGTCTGGCTTTCTTAATTCGTTTCGATTGTCTTTTTGTCAGTCATTAATTTGCTGCATTTGCATATTATTGATGATTTTCCCTGCCTTCCCCCAATGACGATCGCATTATTTGCATATGAAAGTTAGGGACAACTGTGTGAAAAATGGATTGACCCGGCGGGAAACCTTTGGGGGGAATGATATTGAGGATTAAAGGTTTGCCGAGTGCGTGACTTGTTGACACTCTTAAACCCACTCCTGGCACTTAATTCCTGGCTCCTTCGTTGGGCAGCAATTATGCAGATGAGTGAGTTTCAGTTTATGGCATCCAGGTGTGTGCTAGCTCTAAAAAAACCTTCATGGATAGGCCTTAAAAGTCACTCATTAAAACTAAGAAAACAAATTATGATTAATTACACACATTAAGAATCGAGTTCATGCCTTTGGCAAACGAGTTTCCAAATCTTCAAACAGCCGAATAATAATAAAAAACAGTGTCATGAACACGCTTCACTTTTAAGCTATGGCCAACGAACTGCGTCTTTTTTGAGTTTTCTTCATTTAATTTGACCCTCCCACTAGCCCAGGTAGACCTCCCCCCACCTCTACGCCACTGTGCAACACCTACAAGCAAAATGCAGCGAAGCGCAAAAAAGCTGAAAATGCTTCAAAGTTTCATCATCATCATCATCGCAGGGCAAAGATGTGTGTGTTCCTACAGTAGTTGAATGATTTACGGTGCTGCACTTTAACACAGCTGGAATTTATGCATAAAGTATGGGGTGTTTTTATACCGAAAGTGTGTACTATATTCCAATTGACTTTCGGTACGCGCATCTAACGCTTAGTCAGCGGTCGAAACTGAATCACAGATACAATAGCCGCAGATACAGATACAGATATAGATACAAATACTAGCTGGAGAATACATATGTGAGCTGAATGATTGTTCGACTACAGACCCCATCATGACCAGGGTCTTTCAATGTTTTGGTTGAGAGCGTATCTAGGCTAGTGTATCTTAGATATTTGCACGCAAAATTGCCGCTGCCTTTTTTTTCGGTTGTTTTTTGTTTTGTTTTTTTGCAGCTTTTTAATTTTTTATTTAGCTGCTTCTTCTGGCCATTGTTCTGCTCTCTGGCCATATATCTCTTTTTTAAATTTGATTTGTGTTGTGTTTTTTTGTTTTATACTCGCAATGATGTCATTATGCCGAGCAAACCCTTAATGAAACCCAAGTCGAAGAAGAGAGAAATCAAGTTTATTTACCTTCCAAACTGCGGTGAAAATCATTTCCAGTCTCTCTCCCTCTCTCTAGCCATTGTTCCACTAAATTTAGATTTGCAAAAATGCTTTAAAGCCCCTGTATTCCTATTCTATGATTTGCCATTTGCTATTTGCCCCATTCATGAAGTTTTTGGCTTGCTTTTATTCCTCTGACGGCTGCTGATGTTGTATGTATGTTGTATGTTTTTTTATTTCTACATAATAAAGTGCCTGATGCGTGAAATGTTTGTCCAAGCTTGAAGAGTTGTTGCCATTGTTGCCCCTTGCCGGCTGTTGATTCATCATGATCATCATTGGAGTTGAGGCAACTCCAGGTCCCATAGTATAACCTCAGCCCAGGCAACCGACCGATCAACCGACCATAGGAACAGCTCCAACTCTGGCTCCGATCTGCTTAGTTGCTTTGCTGCCTCTCACAGAATGACACATTTAATGCACATTTGACTTGTAGATCCATCTGAGTGAGCAGCTCACAATCCCAATCCCAATCCCCAAGCTCCAATCCCCATCTCCCATCTCCAATCTCCAATCTTCAGTCACATGTCTTTAGAGGTTCTCATCGCATGTGACAGTTTGTAAATTCTCGGTTTGCTTTAGGTTACTTCTCTACCTCACTTGTTACAGCTACAGTTTGTTGGTTTTGAAAATGACAATGGAATGACAATCTTTCTGTTCTTGCCAAGACAGACATGTGGCAGACAGACAGGGAGGCAGGAGGAGACAGTCATCGTGAATGGTGGAAAAGTGTGCTCAGCATTTTCACTTTCATTTGTCAGGGCATTGGATTGATTTGCATGGTTAACTTGGGGTTTTGAGGGATATGAAAGGGGGTTTCCTAGAGAAGAATATGCATCTTTTTGTATATTTATTTGTTTATTAAATGTATCTAATAAAGTAAGATACTTTTGGAAGGAGGTTGAAAGAAAGGATATACTGTTTATGACATGCTTTATATCTAAAGTAATAAAATATCCAATTCATATTCCTCTTTAAACAGTAAAATCATAAATATACACCTTCCTTCTTCTCCTAAGTCATTTATGCATATATATTTTTCAACACTTACACTTTGTTCAACCCATAATTTTCCTCCACTTAGTTTCCGCATAAATATCAAATAAAACAAAAAATGTAGACCACAAAACGAGGCAATTTTACAGTTCCATGGAATAAAGCACATAATTATACCTTAGCAGAAAATATATATATGAATAAAACGTATGTAAAAATCCCAGCGGAATTATCGGGAATCCACTTGATATGAAATTAAATATCTACCAAGAAAAAGACTACACCCAATCCCTGTACCCATTACCATACAATGTGAGCCCGAAAATATGGGAAATATGATC